GGTGGAAGTTTACTTTTCCAGCACTCGTGCACCCTGAACAATACCTTAGTATTTTTCATTATTCATATGACCGAACAAAAGAGAGCAAGAAGCCTGTTCTAGGTGATGGGCAAATGTAGTAAAATAAGAACCTGGAAAAATCTCAGCCTTTTCTTTGAACTAAACCCACTATTGTAAATGTTGGGGGGAAATATTTCAATTAGCCCATCAGTACAATCAGCTGAGTCCCTCACAATGAGTTGGATGCATATACAAAAAAGAAATCTGTTTCCCCTTTGTTTTAATTTCTCCTCTGAAGCCCAGTAGTTTCTTTCAACATTCTTTACTGATGTTCCAGTTGCAAGATATCATTCTCTCAGCAGTCTGGAGGTGCCTGCTGGATCCTGGCCAGCTGCGAAATTCAGACCTTTTGCACCATCAGGCTCCTTTAGGTCAGAGGTATGCTGTGAATTCAAAGGGATCTCTGAACGAGGGATGCCCCTGCAAGAATGTCTTGCCTGGAGAAACAAGAGGGAACTGATCCATCAAGAAGGGACTGCAAGCAAGAGCATGGGCTTGTGGATCAGGGAGAGACTGAGAGTGAGGGAGGGGAAAATGCAGGTTAAGGTAAGGGAATGGAGAACTACATGAATCATTGAGTCTGCACCATGAGCAAGATGATCTGTTGAAGGAAGGGAAAATCAGCAGGATTTATGGAGGAAGGGAAGAATTAATATTGGTAAAGAATTTAGATTTCCTTGAATTGAGAGGAGGCAGAGATGGGGGAAGGGAAAGTGTGGCTGGGGGACGGACGGACGTATTTTACATGATTTAGTGTGCTGAATGCAGTAAAAACTCAGCTCCTTGAAAGCTCATGTGCTGACCTCTCCTGACTTTTTATCTAAGCATGTTCTTCCTAAAAGGGTGTTTATTTGCTTTTACTCTACAAGCATTTATTAAAGTAGTCGTATAATATCAACATATTCTAGAACTTGTACTGAGACTATCCGGCCCAAGTCAGTAAACAAACTCCAATGTGTGTGTATAAACTGGGGTGTTTCTGTGTGTCAGGAAAAATGGAGGGGGATAAAAGAAATGACCCCTCTGCTCTTGGACTGCATTGTTATTGATTAAATTTAAACCAACCATTGAAGTCTTTGAGAATCTTTCCATTGACTTTAATGGGAGTTGTTACACACTTTATTGTTGCCTTCCAAAACAATTTTTTGTTTATGCATATCATTAGAATATCAAAGGAAGTATGCATTCATTTGACTTAAATCCTGACTGATCCCTCTATTTGATGAGCAAATATTTTGCTAAGTCATAAATTTTTCCATACATTGGCTATCTTGGTTATATCTTAATAACTGCCTTATTTTCTCCAGACTTTTTTTTCCCCATCCTTGAGATAAATATATATTTCAGAATCCGCTTTTGAAATTTAGTCATGTTCCAGGCAGCTTCTTACAAACAAGTCTTGGAAGATGTCAGTAAATCAGTTTTGAGTGTTTTATTTCCCAAGGAATCAGAGCACCTGTGTTTATTATATAGCAAATCCTGAGACCTAATGCATAAAACAAGACTGAAGTAGGAAAGCACTGGCGATAAGGAGATTAAAGCACCCTTGCACTGGCTATAAAGAAAAATATATTCATTCACTTTAATTTTTTTTAAAAAAAAAGCAAGAGTAAAGGAAAGAGCAAAATATGCATATTTTTATTTTAAATTTCTTAGCTGTTAACTGTCATTTCCAAAGCTCTTTCTTCCTGTAATCTCAAAAATATTTAAATGGATGGTCACATCAAGTTATTAAACTAAGTATTAAATACTGAGGTTTAAAAACCTAGTAATAACACATACAGTTGGTCATAAGGTCACAACAGTTGCAGGGTGGGAGGGAGAAGAGGATTGTGAATGTAGTATCTTAAAAGTAAATACATCCATGTGGTCGGTTCTGTTTATTCACTGACATAGTCAAAGCACAATTCCTCTTCAATGTTCATGAAGGACCATACCTGTTTTTTAGGAATCATACTAAGTCATGTACAGTCAACCTGTAGAATTCATTGCCAGGGGATGTGAAGACCAAAACTATAATGGGGTTGAAAAAAGGATTAAATAAATTCTTGGAGGATAGGTCCATTAATGGCTATTTGCCAAGATGGTCAGGGATGTAACCCTATGCTATGAGTGTCCCTAGTATCTGATTGCCAGAAGCTTGGAGTGGACAACATAGCCTGGATTACTTGATAATTGCCTGTTCTGTTCATTTTCCTCTGAAGCACCTGGCATTGGCCACTGTTGGAAGACAGGATAATGAGCCAGATGGACCATTGGTCTGACCCAGTATGTCCATTCTTATATTTTTAAGACCTTGCACATCTATATTTGATGTTTGTTCTGTGTTCTTCATTTTCAGAAAAGTTGAGTCATTTGTGCTTTTATTCAGGTGTTGCTGGTGTTCTGTCCTTTTCCCTGTAGCATATAACCATGGGTCTCCATGTCTGAGAGCTGGAGTAAGAGTATCATTTGCCTCTAGATTTCTTAATTCCTCAAAATGTGTTCCTGAAAATGTGATTCCCTTGTAGTGCTGCCTTACGTTAGGCCTTTTCTTACTAAACTAAAAATATGTCTATTGTGTAATTTGGATTGATTTTTTGCAGTTGCTTTTCACACACCAGCTAAAGACAAGTCTTTTAGAAAGGTCATCCACAATTCACGCCAGAACCCCAGGAATCATCCATTTCCCCTCCCCCCCACGCTAGGCCCTATGCTGCAGTTACTATCCTTCCAGTCAAGGCAAAACTTTGAACAGGGAAAATATCATTTATCCCATTCGTTATTCTTGTGGAAATTCCTGCTGAGGCAGTCTGCAGATGTGTTCGTTACTCCCAGATGATGCACAGCCAGCCGGGTGATCTGATGTCCGATGCACCAATTCCAGAGTTTGATCGCCTCCATGCAGAGTGCGGTGGACCTTGTTCTTCCCTGTTTATGTTGTAAACCCCATAGTCATAACTCTGACATGCATGGTATGGATGAAGGGTAAAAATCTTTTGCGGGCTTTGGGCACTGCATAAAGTTTGAGGAGGCTGGTGCACAGTTTGGACTCCAGCAGAATCCAAGAGCCCTGAGCCACATGGCTGTCCAGGTGCACTCCACAGCCCAGTAGAGAGGCATCCATAATGAGTGACTTTTGTGGTAGATGAAGGATCAAAGGGGACCCCTACGCACAGAGTCTCTTTGGTTTCCCACCAGGTAAACAATGCTAGAATGTTCTGAGGGACTAAGATTTGCTTAAGTATCGGGGGTAGTCGTGTTAGTCTGTATCTACAAAAACAACAAGGAGTCTGGTGGCACCTTAAAGACTAACAGATTTATTTGGGCATAAGCTTTCAGGGCGACACCATCAGAGGACCCAACCACATCAGCCACACCATCAAGGGCTCATTCATCTGCACGTCCACTAATGTTATATATGCCATCATGTGCCAGCAATGCCCCTCTGCCAGGTACATTGGCCAAACCGGACAGTCCCTCCGCAAAAGAATAAATGGACACAAATCGGACATCAGGAATGGTAACATACATAAGCCAGTAAGTGAACACTTCAATCTCCCTGGTCATTCTATTACAGATTTAAAGTCACTATCATTGAACAAAAAAACTTCAGAAACAGACTTCAAAGAGAAACAGCAGAACTAAAATTCATTTGCAAATTTAACACCATTAATCTGGGCTTGAATAGGGACTGGGAGTGGCTGGCTCATTACAGAAGCAGCTTTTCCTCTCCTGGAATTGACACCTCCTCATCTATTATTGAGAGTGGACTACATCCACCCTGATTGAATTGGCCCTGTCAACACTGGTTCTCCACTTGCGAAGTAACTCCCTGCTCTCCATGTGTCAGTATATAATGCCTGCATCTGTAACTTTCACTCTATGCATCTGAAGAAGTGAGGTTTTTACACACGAAAGCTTATGCCCAAATAAATCTGTTATTCTTTAAGGTGCCACCAGACTCCTTGTTGTTTTTGTAAGATTTGCTTGTTCAAGACATCTCTGCTCAGAACATAGACTGTCCACAACCATGCTTGGAGGCACCAAAGATGGTGTCGGACAATAGAGTGAGTCAGACAATAATTAAGGACAGTAGACATGGGGGTTCAAAAAGTTAGTTTTATAACCATTAAAACACAAATTGTCAATATCATATGTCAAAACATACAAAGCAAATCTCTTCAAATCAAACTCTAATATATTCTTAAGTGGCATTTTTCTTTCTTTGCCTATCTGCAAATTTTGATTATTACTGATGGAAATATTCTTTTCATCGGTTTGCGTGTGTGGTGAAATGGACATTTACTGACAAAAGACTAGTCCTTCCAAGCTGAATGATAAATAATGATAGATAGTGTGACAGACCGAGACCAGTGGGGTCCAGGAGTCTGGTAGAGGGCAAATATACTGGTCACTGGATGAGTAGTTTTCTGTTCCCTGAGTGACCAGAGAAGGGGCTGCACTAGAGTAATCAGGAACCTGCTAGAACCAGTTAAGGCAGGCAGGCTAATTAGGACACCTGGAGCCAATTAATAAGAAGCTGCTAGAATCAATTAAGGCAGACTAATCAGGGCACCTGGGTTTTAAAAGGAGCTCACTTCAGTTTGTGGTGCAAGTGTGAGGTGCTGGGAGCAAAAGGTGCAAGGAGCTGAGAGGGTGTGTGCTGCTGGAGGACTAAGGAGCACAAGCATTATCAGACACCAGGAGGAAGGTCCTGTGGTGAGAATAAGGAAGGTGTTTCGAGGAGGCCGGGGGAAGTAGCCCAGGGAGTTGTAGCTGTCATGCAGCTGTTACAGGAGACACTATAGACCGCTGCAGTCCACAGGGCCCTGGGCTGGAACCCAGAGTAGAGGGTGGGCCCTGGTTCCCCCCAAACCTCCCAATTGACCTGGGACTGTGGGTTCTTCCAGAGGGGAAGGTCTCTGGGCTGTTCCCCAACCCACATGGTAAATCTCTGAGGCAAGAAAATCCACCAATAAGTGCACGACCCACCAAGATAGAGGAGGAACTTTGTCACAATAGATAGATAATAGTGAATTACAAATGAACCAAACAGTTCCTACTTTAGCCACTTACAATTCAAAGTGGGTATTACTGTCTATCAGTACAAATCAAAATGCTGAACAGAAAGATCACAAAACAGCTAGACATAAGCGTGCTTGGTTGTGGATTTCATTTCCACATGCTCAAATTTGTGTGGTCTATGGCAGGAATGTGATGAATATCTCCATGTTCTGGGTTTATCAGCACAGCTATAAAAGCTACAAAATATTGCTCCTCCAATCATGAGAAATGCTGAGCTCACCCAGCCTAAGTAGAGGGCAGCTCCCAGGTCTCGTTTCAAACCTGCGTGAACTGCTGGATTATAAAAGTCTCCAATGATGTTGCTTGCAGTCCAAGACACAGGTATCAAAATTAGAATCCCAGTTAGGATAAAAATGATCCCAGCTGCCAGAAAAATGTTACTCCTGACTTGCTTGTTATCCCCAACACACACAGTGCACTTCATGCCAGTAATGGCTGTCAGAAAGGCAATAACGGACAGCATCACAGCAAAACACATCAGTCCTCTGGATACTTCTAAAATAGGTGGGAGTGCTAGTACGGTGTCATAGAATTTACACTGCATCTTGATGTTGACTTGGTAGACACAATTCATCCATAGTCCTTCCCAGATGTTCTCAAACACCACAATGTTACCTTCAATGAAAGCAGACACTCTCCACTGAGGCATGGCAGTGATTGCAAAAGTCCCAATCATGCCGATGCCTCCAAGTATTAGGCCTGTGATTTGCAGTGCCCAACAAGCCATATTTCTTCTGAGACAGGTGCACAAAAAAATAGTCCACAGGAACGTGTTTCCAAAGCAGGGTTTCTGGGAGATAAAATCGAGAGCAAGAAAGAATCTTTCCTGTAATAGTTTGCTTGTGTGCCAAAGTGACTTTGAAGCAGTTTCAATTTGTATTTCTGAAGTTCAATAGGCAGCAGTCCATTGCTGACTGAGTAGAAGGACCTGCTATTTATCTGCTTTGATATTTGAAAGACCTCTGACTAGAGCACTTCACAATCAGGTCCAACAGCTTTCCAGCCAATGAGAGGCTAGATAGGGTGTATCTAGGAATATCATACTTGACTTCATTGCTCCTTAGTGATGCTATAATTAAGTGTGTGTCAGGGTCTCCATTATAGAAAACTAATTACAAGGTTAATTATTCCACAGCAAAACTGCATCTGTGTTGAAATGCAGAACATGAGGTGTTAGCGCAGGACTTAATTTCTGTCATGTAAAATATTGCCTAACTTAGATCAGTACAATTATTTCTATGATGAAAGCTAAAATTGCATTTAAGGTGGGGCTTACATGCTTTTTGCTCTCCCCTAGATGAAAAACATTTGAATTAAAAAAAAAAAAAACTAAGCAGGCACTTACTGTAGTCCTTTAACAGTGACTCCTGGTTTTGATCAATGTAAAAGTACTAGCATAGAATTATGTACAGTAAGCTCAAGTACTGTAGTCAACATCAAAGCTTTACCTAAACAGATGCATAATTTATAAGGACACCAAAACAAGGAGCTGGCATCATTTCATAGCTTTTTCATTTGAGTCTAGAAGGAAAGGCCAGTGACAGGAAATAACCTCTCCTATTAGCAGGTGAGTGTATTCTGTTACAATAACTTCTTCTAGTGGACACTAGCAGGGAAGAAAAGCTCTCCAACAAAATAACGAGGCACTAATTAATTAATTCATTCATATTATAGTGTTTGCCTATTCTCTAAGTGGACAACACTTACATGATGGATTAATGGCTATGGATACCTCCTACAGTATATAACATGGACTGCTCAGAGGACTATGAACCAGGTCTCCTGAGCTGTAATCTTGCCAGTGGTCTGGTTTGCCTTGGGCCTGGGGTTTAACTTCTCTCACTCTTTCATTTTCCCATCCCTGACTGGAGTTGATAATACATAGCTACACTTGAGTCTTATGGAGATTAATTAGTTTCTGTTAGTTCAGCTCTTTGATATACATGGCCAGATCCTCAGCTGGTTTTAGGTTAGTGTAGATCCACGGAAGGCAGTGGAACTATGCCAATGCACACCAACTGAGGATCTGACCCATAAAGTGCTGTCTAAGAGTTATCTGTAATAATTGTTGAGTTGTCCGCTTTATATATGCGTAACCTTTCTGCCAGGCCGAGTTGATAGCAGCAAGGGCCGGGTTCAGTACAGAGGGGTCCCCTCCCTACAGCGTAACACAAAACCAGCTCGAGCCCCCACCCAGTGACCTGGGAAAATCTTACACACACCCCTGGGCGCCTCAAAGAGGCAATACTTCCCCTCTTGCAAGCACAGAGTCTCGATGTAGCAGAAAATGTTTAACAACATGAGGTAAATGACATAGCATTAAATTGGGAAAACACCACAACTAGAGTTCATAGACCAAACAATCAGCGAAGACCCACCCCAGCAAATTGGGCCGTGTCCTTTCCCAGTGGTTCTGGAAACCAACAACCCCCAAAGTCTCTGTCCCTGGTCAATTCAGCCCCAGAGTTCAAAGGGGGGGCGGCGTGCAGGGTGTTAAGGGGCACCTTCCGTGATCCGAGGCCGAGTGGCTGCCTCACCGTGGGGTTCCGCCGCAGCCTTCACCACGAGCCGCTCCTGCCATCCCATGAACTGCTCTGCTCTACCAGCTGCTCCGCTCACCGACCTGTGAGCCGCTCCAGCTGTCCCCACAAACAGCTCCGCTCGCCGTTCCTTGGGCCGCTCCAGCCGTCCCCGCAAGGCTCCGCTCTGCCAGCTGCTCCTCCAGCCATCCCCACAAACTGCTCTGCCAGCCGCTTAACAATACAGCTTTAGGCTCCCCCACTAGTTAACACAGCACTCAGTGATCTCAGCTCTTAGTAACTTAAGCTCTTTTGTGATTGCAGCTAGTAGTAGGGGAGCCCAGGTGCTGGTGCACTATTGGCCCGAAGTGAATTCAGCTCAGCAGCCTGCAACTAGACTCCTAATGGAATCAAAGTTAGCTCTGACATTCAACAGTGGAGAGAGGAGGAGGTGCAATTGGTGTTTCAGGCTCACAAAAGGGGCCCACACTACCAGGTACAAATACCTAACCTCTCTCAATTCACTAGGTTTTGTAACCCATACCCCTTGTCAAGCAAGTGCTACTTAGTTAATGATGAGTCCTTCTGTCATACAACAGTTCCACTGGCCTTGATTCACAGAATCAGGCTAACAAAACTTTATTCTTCCTGCCCCAATAACGGAGAAACTGGGGATCCCACACCAGCCAAAGTAACCACTTTCAGTTGCTGTTGTCTCATGCCAGATGAGTGGGTGTGCCTATGCAAACAAGATCAGCCCTTGGAGTTCTTTTCCACACTCGCCATAATTCACCACCAGATGTCAGGGTAGAACTCATCCTGACTCTCCTTACATATGTGTGAAAGGTCAAATGCATTCCTTGATTTTTATATTTATTTTTAAATTTAGTTACAGCCAAAGGTGCTTATACAAGTATTTTAAGTTATTAAAAATAAGGATAAAATCCATAATAAAATGATTTTGCCTTCACTGGCTTATAAGGGGGGAAAAAAAACTCTCTCAGCCTACCACTACTAATTCAGATTCTAGCAGACCAAGGAGGGTCTGGAAATAGTGCTTTGCAAAGTGAGCTGAGCATTGAAACAGATTTTACATACCTGTGTGTTAAGTCCTGTAGGGGGCACTGGCCAAATAATTTTGAGTCTAGCAGCAGGAACCACAGAGTGACCTAAAACCTCCTTGATGGAGATACAATATTTAACACCTGGATAGTGCTCTTGAAGTTCTAAGCATTTTTTTAAACATTCTCTAATTCTCACAACAGGCCTATGAGGTAGATGTGAATTACTGTCCCTATTCTATAGCTGTGGAAGGTGAGGCAGGGACATTAATAAGCCTCAGAGAGAAGTGTCAAAGCTAAGGCTAGAGCTCAGATGTAGGAGCCAGATTGCTGCTTCCCAGTCTCGTACATCGAGCATTAAACGACACCGGCTCTAATTTCAAACAGGATACTACTTTCTCAGAGATGGACTTTTGAATAGAGGCCTAGATATGGAGCCTGCAGTAGTAAGCTTGGACCTTGATCTCTTTACTGCTTCTCACTTATACAGTAGCTCTTTAGAGCTTGCTGAGTTTTATTTTATCACCAAAAAAGTCAAAATTTTACAGACTTTGAAACAGAACAATCTTTTCCCTTTTTTTGAAAATATTAATATTTTTATTGAAAATATCAACACTGGTATTGAAAGGCTATTCTGGGGGGGAATGGTTGTTCAAAAATTTTCAGCCAACTTTAATAGATACCAAACTCTGACTTACCATGCCCAGTGCCCTGATCTATAATGTCTACTGGAATTGTCTGAAAGCTAAGTGTTACAATCTTGTGATTTGGGGGGCGGGGGGTGAGCTGTTGAGGTCATGCATAAAACTACACTCTGGTGGTCAGAATCTGACTTGTGTGGGAGATAAATTACTCCCAGAAAAACTTGAGAAAAATTTATCACATGCCATTTTGTGTCATTACATCCAAAACATCTTAAGTATTTTAATGCTTTTTCTAGATTGTTACCTCCTAAAGAAGATATCACACCATATGTGTGTAAAACAAATGTTACCATACCAACTATACTTACATACTGTCCAATAATAGGATAATTATTGTTAGTTGAACCCTGTGGAAATGAAAGGAATAAAGGAAAAGCAAAAAGTGGGAGGAGAGAGACTAGGTGTTGTTCATTGCTTGTATACAAATACACCTCTACCCTGATATAACGCTGTCCTCGGGAGCCAAAAAATCTTACTGCATTATAGGTGAAACCACGTTATATCGAATTTGCTTTGATCCACCGGAGTGCGCAGCCCCACCTCTTCTTCCCCTCCCCCCCCCCCCCCCCCGGACGCACTGCTTTGCTGCGTTGTATCCGAATTCATGTTATATCGGGATAGAGATGTAGCTGAACTGGAACTGAACCATAGATGGCATGCTAAGAGATGTAATAATTTGCTACATGAACTCTGTGTATGTCCTTTTTTTTTTTAGTTCTTCTCTCACTAACACACCTAAAAACAAAAATACTACCAAAAAATGGCAATGGGAATGGGATTCTCAGAATTCCCAGAGCCTGGCCCATTTGGATAGTTGTGGGATGATCCCTTTGTGCCCTGGACAAAATATTCAATATCCTTTTGAGATCTTTCTGGTCTAATCTATCTAATCTGTTTCAGGCATTTTATGAGGCACCTGTCACCTTGGTATTTAAGTGTGGAGAGCAACGGTCCTCATAAAGGTAGATATGTTAGAAGACATCCCATCTTACTGCTTCAGAACAGAAGACCAAAGGATTCTGGTGATGGTCGGCACAGATAACACTTAAAGGTAGGAAAGTAACTACAATATACATTTTGAGAATATGTTGATTGAACAATTCACATTCTGCTGTTGAAAATAAAATGAGGGAGAACCTGCACGGCAGCATTGAGTGCTTTTATGAGAATTAGCAGCAATGTATACAGTCAGATTAGTACTGGATGAAATGATGTGAGACTAATTAACTGAAAAAATTTTCTGTGATTAAAATAAGTGTTTACTCATGGATCAAACCGTTTCAGTACATAATTGAACTGGCTTGCCAGTCATGTCGTGATGGCACAGGCTACACAACTGGCACAAGACACTATGGAATTTGTGCTGGTGTTGGAGCCTGAAGCAACGGCATTTCACAGGAAGGGCAAGCTAGTTTTGCTTTGGCACTGGATCTGTTACATAATCCGTATGAATCTGTTGGATCCAAGGATGGGCATACTGTTTGCGACTAAGTATGCTACTGTTTGATCCTGAGCCCAGTGTGTCCACATTTGTTGGGTGCTTGGCCCTATTTATTGTCTAGAATGAGACACCTAGTTGAGTCCTGCATTATCTGTGGT